GCAGTAGTAGGTAAGGAAAGATGGCTGAGTTTCCTGACCAAATCATTGTGCATTGCCAATAGTGAGAGACTAAGCCATAAATTATAGACATTTAAACAGTGAAGAGGGTGAGGCAAAATGAGCTAGACTTCAACTAGGATCCAGCAGAGATTATGGGACTCACTCACTGCCGTGAACTTTAAATCAAATGTTTGTACAAAAGAGAGTTTTAATTCAGAACACAGTTTTATATTTTAATTGACAACCTTAATCTGTCCAACCTGTGCCCAGCCTGTGCCTCCAGGCAACTGGAGTAGGTGCTCCAGAACATGATGAGATTTAATTATAGGAAAACAACTATATGTTTAAATTAAATTTGAAGGTGGGATACACTTGCAGTATATACATTTTTTCACCCCATTAAATGCATAGAGGATAGTAGATGAAGTCTTTAAGGAAAAAAGAAAAGAGTGAAATAGTCAAGTAAAGATTCTCCAAACTAAACATCTTTGCATTTTGATTGCTCACAATTCCTGTTCAGTTCAGTTCAATTCAGTTCAGTCACTCAGTCGTGTCCAACTCTTTGCAGCACCATGGACTGCAGCACACCAGGCCTCCCTGTCCATCACCAATTCCCAGAGTTTACTCAAACTCACATCCATTGAGTCGGTGATGCCATCCAACCATCTCATCGTCTGTTGTCCCTTTCTCCTCCCACCTTCAATCTTTCCCAGCATCAGGGTCTTTTCAAATGAGTCAGTTCTTCGCATCATACTTTCTGCCATAAGGGTGGTGTCATCTGCATATCTGAAGTTATTGATATTTCTCAATATATTACAACCCCTGTAACTGCCCCAAATAACACTCATTTTGATCATCTCTTCTCTAAAAACTTTCCTTGCCAACCCACAACTAGCTAGTTTTGTGAATTCTTCCACATTCAGTATAGATATTCACATAACTAAATCTTATTGAAGAGTTAATATAACTTTGTCTCAAGGAAATAGGTAGTGAAACAACATTCGATTAGCTTGCTTGACAATAGAAGATAAAAATGAAACAACTATAAAACAGTCAAAAGTATACCATGGTCCTTTGTCTCATTAATGTGTTCATTAGATAAAGACAGGTTTCAGGAGGGAAGGATCTGATTTGTAATCAAGAAAACAAAAGCTGATTTATCCATTTGAATTGAAAAGCAGGTAAAGAATTTCAGTGTTTATTCACATATTCATTTAAATATAAAAGGGAACTGATCACCACCTCCGCCACCACAACCATGTGTCATATGTGTACAAGGTTAGATCAAAGTGGTAGCTAATAATACTACATTCTGCAGTTGTTCAAGGATGACAGTTGAGAAAGTTTGATGACAGAGGATAAAAATAACACTTGTTTGGGCATAAATGGAAGTTTTTTCATTGAACTATGTGAACATTCCTCATGTCACCCACACCGCCAGAAACCTAAGAAAACGATTTTGCAACATTTTTATGTGTTCACTACTCATCAAATTGCAGTTATTCTTTTTTTCTGAAATGAAGAATAACTATTGTAAGCATGAGAATAAATTGAGGTAATGATAAAATAATCAGCAACAATTAGGTATAATTCAATTTCCAGTTTTACTGCAGTTACTAATATGCATAACCTTTGTTCAAGTAGTTTGTCACAGTTGTGTAACAAAGCATTTGACAAGAGTTAGTTAATAGAATTTACAGGCAGATACAGAAGCAGAAATGCTTACAGTTTGAATGCACTTTGTCAACAAAGAAAATATGGCCTATTTACTTTTTTTTTAATTTAAAAGAAACATGGAATCTTTTGCTCCCAGCTTGACAGTCAGTTACAAAAAGCAGAAGGCACCTTAACGTTTCCTCTGGAGGATATTATCACTGCATTCCAGTATCAGCAGCGGGTAGAAACATGTGCTTTATCATACTTTGACCTTTATACTTCAAGTCAAGAGAATCCTGAGCAAGGTCAGTTTCCTCATCCAGCATGCACTTTCTGCAGATGTAAAAAAAAAAGTTTTTTCCCACAGAATTTGATCTGTGGATTTTATTTGTGTTTGAATGAAATATGTTTATTTCTATGGTGGTGACTTTGCAAGAAAACAAGTGCAGAAGTATTTCCTCAAAGGCTAAAAGGAGGCATTACCACCACCACCACTACTTGCCAAGGGATTTGCAAAGCATCTTGAGGCTCATGGTTAGTATGGGAGACAAGCCAGACTCAGGAGAAGTTAGCACAGAGAAAAAGTTGGAGTGTTTTTCCCCATTTAGCCAGCCAATTCAACAAAGTCCTTCAGATAGTAACACCTAGTGGTCAGATAATGATGTCTTTTCTACAAGGATTGTGTTTGGGTTTGTATACTTCCTTTATGTTTGGCATTTAAAATCCTTGGGGGGAAAGCTATTTTTGTAACTCAACTGGGATGTCCTTGTTTTAGGGTTTCCCATTGCTTCAGTCCCCTAGCCTGGATGATAACCATGATAGTGCTTTGTCTTTCAGATGAAATGCAGAACTAAGGACATGACTACTGGTGCTTATTAAAGATTCCTTGCTATTTTCACAAGAGTAGGGGTGTTAGACTCTTGTCTACTGGCCAAATTCTAAATTGGGAGATTACATTCTGCTTTCCTGAATTCCCCTAGCAGAAGCAGCCATCCATGGTATCTTACTTTGCTTCCTGTGCTACACTGTTGTGTGATGTCATTAAATGGCTCTGCTTTTCTACTCTAGAAGTGACCACTTCTTAGTGGAGTGGTGAATAAATTGGTACCTATTGTCTGATATTGACCTAGTTTCAAACAAATTAAAAGGTAGGCTCTGATAGTTAAGGATAAAGAACAAAACAAAACACTCTAACAGTACTGGTTGTTGTGAAGCAGTAAAAAAAAAAAAAAGAAAATCTGCTTTCTCTTCTGCAACACAAATTAATACATTTTTCAAAAACTACACTAGTGGTTGACAACGAATTGTTATTTTGCCTCAAACAGAAGGATAGTTCTAACAGCAATGATGAGGTTTGAGAGGATGTGATCACATATCACAAACCAGTTAAACCATCTCTTTCGCCTTTAGGTTGCATCTAACTATCCTAGACAATTGATCTGTCTGTTTCATAAAATCTCTCTTTTAGGAGAGTCTTCATCTTTTCCTCTTAACATATTTCAGTGTTTTTTAATCTTTCTATAAAAATGATGTTCTTATTTTTATTTAACCTCCAGTCCACCTACTGTAGCTTAATGTCACCATCTTTTATCCATCTCTAGCCTTTTATCCTGCACTAGTACTGAGAGGCAGTGTAGCACAACAACATGGTTTTTGGAGTCAGACATGCCCACATTAAAATCCATCACTTTATAGGTGTGTGATGTTGGGCAAGTTACTACTGAGGTTCAATTTCCTCATCTGTAAATGAGCACCCTCTTCAACCTCATGTGAAGATCAAATTACATAATATATTATTTGTAGGGTTATGGGGTAAGATGAGGCATGGTATTTGGCACCCAAAAAGTGCTCAGTAAATAGTAGTTATTTATCTGATTAGGTGCACAGATCTGACTCAATTCATAAACTTTAAGAGTGGGGAAACAAACTTCCTGGATTTCAACACAAGTTCCCTGGTAGCTCAGTGGTAAAGAATCCGCCTGCCAATGCAGGAGACAGAAGAGACGTGGGTGTGATCTCTGGGTCGGGAAGATCACCTGGAGAAGGGAATGGCAACCCATTCCAGTATTCTTGCCTGGGAAATCCCAAGGACAGAGGAGCCTGGTGGGCTACAGTTCATGGGGTTGCAAAAGAGTTGGACATCACTTAGTGACTAAATAACAACAGTGTCATAAACATACTAGGCACAGAGGTTCAAAATTTGTTGACTTATTTTTCCCCTGAAGTGAAATGAACAGCCCTCACCTATTTGCAAGATATCACATACTTAGCTCAAAGGTGACAAAATCGATCAATCCTCTGATGTCTCCAAATATGCAGATAGATACCTCGCTTAGTCTAGATGTTTTGGCAAGGCAAAGACACAACACGAAAAGCTTAGACTTTCTGTTTCTATGAGGTTTCGTTTCTATGAATATTTTACATGTGATTATTGTCTTGGGCGCCCAGAATGGGAGTGACTCAATCAAACGCCTTCTCATCCATCCAAGCATTCTTTGAGAAAATTTTAAAAGAATACTAACAACTATCTAATTATATACCTAAACAAAATCTTTCAACTTATGACCAAGTATACTACCTGCCCTGTTTATCTGTAAGATCTGTGCTAACTACAGATATATTTCTAATCTGCTTTGTTCCCAAGCCAATCTCCTTTCCCAATAACCCACCGGTGCAAGTTCCAGAACACAATGAACATCTGTGAACCAGTGAGGTGTTGGTTAGGATTTTATTTTTTTGCTTTTAAAGGTTTTTACGGGGCTAGGAAGGAAAGTTGAGGAACACGCATGGGGATATACAGAGTCGATTGGGCTGGAATGTCTGTCAGTAAGGAAAGAGTGTGTCTCTTTTACCATAATCTTGGAAAAAAGATTATGTGCGTGTTCAGATGGAGTCACTGCAGTCTGGCCCGTTCCCCGACTGATTCGTAAGGGGCGATCTCAGGTGTGGAGTTCCAAGCACCTGCTTGATCACACTCCGGCAGTTCAGAACCCAGCGTATTTGAGGCCGGTGGCTCAGGTTCCATTTAATTTGGCTCAGGTGTCACTAACACTATGTGCAGTGCCCGTCACTGAGTCGTACTTTGGGACTTGGATACTTACTTCGGACTTTCTTGTTTCTCCCCGCTTCCTTCCCATTAGTTTCCCTTTCACTCCTCCGTCCCCGGGGTGCCCACTTCCTCCCTTTCCTCCCATTCTCCGCTTTCTTCTTCTTCCTTCCTACTGGGCTTCCCGTCTCTCTTCCTCGGAGGGCCGCGGGGCTCGAAGCTGAGGCTCGACTCCGAGGAGGAAGAGGCGCGAGGCCGGCGGGACAAGCGCGAGGTGCCGAGCCGCGAAAGCGCGGGGTGCGCGCCGTCTCGCCCCCGCTGCCAGCTCGCCTCACTTATGGGTCGGAAGCGCTGCGTGGGGGAGACTGTTCCAAGATGGCGGCGGGTTGCTGCGGGGTGAAGAAGCAGAAACTGTCCAGTTCGCCCCCCTCTGGTTCGGGTGGCGGTGGTGGCGCCTCCTCCTCCTCCCACTGTAGCGGAGAGAGCCAGTGCCGAGCCGGGGAGCTGGGACTAGGAGGCGCCGGTACGCGGCTCAACGGGCTAGGAGGTCTAGCCGGAGGAGGTAGCGGCAGCGGCTGTACCCTCTCTCCCCCCCAGGGCTGCGGCGGCGGCGGCGGCGGGGGCATCTCCCTGTCGCCCCCTCCGAGCTGCGGAGTGGGGACCCTACTTTCTACCCCGGCCGCCGCCACCTCTCCCTCGCCCTCCTTGTCGTCCGCCGCCTCGTCCTCATCGCCCGGCTCCCGGAAGATGGTGGTGTCAGCGGAGATGTGCTGCTTTTGCTTCGATGTGCTCTACTGTCACCTGTACGGATACCAGCAGCCCCGGACCCCCCGGTTCACCAACGAGCCCTAGTGAGTACCGTGCCCTCCGCCGCCCTCTCCCTTGCGCTCGGGATGGGGCTCAGAGTTGAGGCAAAGTACGAGTCCGCCTCCCCGCCGGCCGCTGCCCCTGCCCCTCTGGCTGCCCTGGGTCCCTGGAGCCACTCTCCCTGAGTAAGGGCACCCCGCACTTTCTGCCCTCTGAGGCTAGCGCCCCACACTTGGAGAGGGGTGCTGCTGCGAGGATGGCTCGCTGACTCCCAGAGGTGTTCGCTTTCTCTTTGAGATAACTTCGAGGAGTTTTGACCCTCTCCTTCGCCACTCCGGGTCCCCATCTCCCGGGTTTGGAAGCTCTGGATCCCTCACGGTGTTGACCTCTCCTGGATTGGGTTTCCTTGACCCCCAGTGAAAGTCCCGCCGGTGTTCCCGCCCCGCGTACCATGCACATGGAGCGTTACTATCCCATTGCAGCGTAAAAAATAGCAACTATCCAACTTCTGTTCTGCCAGTGATGGAACTTAGCTCCGGAGCCTATGAGCTTACCCATCTTTTTCCTTCGGGTTTTCTTGTGTCCTGGGGAGGGAGGAGGTTTTTTTTGTCAAAACACATGTTCCCTTAGTACCTATTTTTATCCGAACTTACCCATTAAAATGTGTTTCTAGTGAAGCGCACCGCCGGCTCTCTCACATTTAAAGAGTGAGATCTTTTTTTTTTTTTTTTAATTCCACCGTCTGGGTAATAGCTCATTCAAAGAGAGCTGTCCCCATAGAGCCACTGTCAGTTTGTACATTACGCGTGCACTCGCTTTTGTGTCGATTTCACTTTTAAGAAACCCATGTTAGGCTTGACGATTCGGGAAATAAACAGTAAGTGTGTAGGAATTTTTATGGTTTCCCCCGGTTTTGTACTTTTATTTTACCCTTCAAGTGTGTGGTTGAAATTATTTAAAATAACACTGTTACAGCTAAAAGCCAGGTTAATTCTAATCCCTGTCCATTTGGATGTGTGGGAGATGGGGAATGTGTTGTTTTTTTAATGTGTACACTTGAGTGTAAACTGACTTTTTGAGTTAAATGCTCAAGACGGAATGTAAAGCCCAAGGAAGGGCAGAATGACAAAGAGGGTGATTGTTTTTCTTATGAGTACTTAGCATCAATGGGAAAAATAATAGAGAAAAATTTCAGTGAAACTTATACTGAAAAGCATCAACCCTTTTTCTGGTTAAGACAAGTGCCCCTTGTCCCCATACCGTAAGTACCTAAATTGATGTTCTTTTAAAACTGCTTCTTTTCATTTTGTGAGATTAGGGGATTAACTGCGACTGGATAGTATAAACACTCTGCCTAGTCTAAAAATATTCATTTAATATGTAAAGTGGAAATTGCAATAAAATATCCTGGAAATTGTAAATTCGTTTTGTTTTTCTTTGGCTTTGATACTTGAAATGTATTTCATTTGTATTTTTGCCACTTTTCTTTGGTCTGTGCATTTTCTTTCAGACCTGTTTCCTCTTTGGGCATTGGTCATAAGAAATGCGTGCAAGAGCATAGAGACTGACACGTGGTCAAATTACATATCTTGATAACTTTCATAGTTTTAATTCTAGAAGCTTAAATCCTAAACCCACACCTGTACTTAGCCGATTTGCTTTTTGGTTAAAAAGTAGAATTCATTTTGAAAAAGACTGCCATGTAAAAAAAAGTCTATGAAATATTAGGTTGAGTCACTTATTTGTGACTTTTCTGCCTTCTCTTGGATGTCTATGATGTATTAAAGCCAGTCCGGGGATGATACATAGGTTGGCTCAGCAAAGTCATGGGACTGCAAAAATTCACTCCTGTTTAGTTATATGAGTTTGGCAAAGGCTGTTTTACTATTCACGCTCCATTGCTCCAAAGCATATGCGAACACACTTTCAGGAGGTGCTATTTTCACACATTTTAAAGTGAGTTTGGGTTAACTGAATGACTGTAACAAGAATTTTAAAAGGAAAGTGAGCTTGACCAGCTCATACAGAAACTGCTTTTGAGAATGTCATTTAAGAGTGGCTACTTTGCACACATAGTTAAGTATTATTTCTCTAATACCCCACCCACTGGATTTCTTTTTTCTTGGAATTAAACAGAAAAAATAAGACACCCTTTGACCACTGTGGATATGTTGCAACAATGGTGAAAGAATAATAACTATTATCATTTAGCAGGCCTTGACTGTGTCATGTATTCCACCAAACAACAAATTTAGAAGAGACACTGAACATGACCAAGGGGAGAATGGAAGTTCACTTAAGTAGAAAGAGGAGTATATCTTTATTTTCACTTATCTTAAAGTCATTTTGGAGGTGGACTATGGAAAAATTTAGGAAAACTTCTTCAAAGCAGGGTTTGATCATGGGCATGAAATAACTAGAATCACTTGACAGTGCCTCGGTAACCAGCACCCATTTTCTTTCTGTTTTACATATTTAATAGCATTGTGTACTTGTTAGTGTGGCTTGGTGCTGGGGGCCGTAAGACATAAATAGATACATTGCTTCCCCACCTCAGAGTTATTAGTATCATGGTGTTATGAGCAGTGCTGTTTAGGTCCTGTCTCTGTCCACCAGAAGATGTGCTTTCCGATGGTGGCACATTCTCCTATGGGAAAGCAACTGTTTTCATCCCTTCCCAGGACCTTTCTGCCAAAATGTCTGTCACTGGTGAAATCTGCCTTTTATGGGCTTAGAATTTCCGGTTTCATCAGTGACCCTTCCACTCCAGTAGGTTATTAGAAATTTCCATGATCTATCAGTTTCAGGTTTGGCAGGGAGGATGTCACTATAGGAACAGGCTGTGTGGATACAGATTCTTCACTGTTGCTGCTGTTTCCTTGAGTACCTACCTCATTACAAAGAAGTAGCAGTAGCTGGGGCTTGGGAGGAGAATGGAAATCTGTTCAGTGGAGCACAGGTAACATTTGTGTTCAGAGTGAGGAATGAATGAATGAATCCTTGGTCTCAGTTGTACAGCCACATGTGCCCACAGAACTAAGGTTCAAAACACGATTTAAAGAAAACATGACTTTAGGTGCATTTTACGATTCACAACCAGAGCTTTAGATTTATAGATGGGAACGTTATAAGGGATCCACTGTGCCAGGTGTTGAGCCAGTTCTACTCCAGAACTGTCCTTCTCAACTTTGGCTGCACATTGGAATCACTGACGAATTACTAAAAAGACAGATGCCTGGGTCCCAACCCCAGAGATTCTGATTTAATTGGTCTTGGATAAGGCCTGGGCATCAGGATTTTTAGAATCTCTCCAGGTGATTTTTTTGACATGCAGCTGAGGCAGAGGAGCAGTATGTTGTATTCGACTAGGCCTTTCTCCTGAGATTGTGATTAATTTGGTGTGAGGTGGTTCCTGGGTACTCAGATTTTATGAGCCTTCTGAGTAATATTTGGTAAACAGCTGGTTTGGGAAAACATTTGCAGTGTGGTCTTCAGACACATCACCTGGAACTTGTTCGAAATGTAGGCTCAGATATCCCATCTCAGACCTGCCGAATTTGAATCTACATTTTAACAGGCTTCCCCAGGTGACTCTTAGGCACATGGAAAAGTTTGGGGAGGTGTGGTTCTCAAACTTTACTTCATAAGCTCCTGTAGTGCTTGTTAAAACACAAATTGTTGGGCCCCATTCCCAGAGTTTCTGATTCAGTCGGTCTGGGGTGGGGCCTTGAATTTGCATTTCAACCAAGCTCCCTGGTGATGCTGCTGCTACAGTTCCCAGGACCACACGTTGAGCCCCACTGGTTCGGACAGCAGTGAAGACCTGAATAAAGTACTTGAGCAACTGTAAGGGAATGGCACTTTTCATTGTCAGCTTCCAATAGAAAACTTCCTGCTTCCATGCCAATATCCTTTATCATGTTCTTTCTAACTTACACCAGGGAGACCGAATGCTGCCAAGATCATAATAAGAGTCTGAGGTTCTTGGGATAGTTTCAGTCCGAGGTGAGATTGGGGGGAGGAATCCCTTACCTGGAAACCTGCAGTATGATTTTAGGGTGTTTTTTTTCCAGAAATTGTTAAATGTGAGGAGCACATTTTAGGAATAAAAGCAGCTCAGATATGATATCTTTAAGTGAGTTTTATTGATTTTAGTAAGTAAGGCCCCCTTCTGTTCCCGTAAAAAAACGCTTTGATGATTAGCTCGCTAAATAACATGTTATAATAAGATTTTAAAAGCTTTTTACTCACACTTATGCTTGCTGGATTGCATTTTAAGAATTTCCCTCATTAACAAAGAAACAGAAAAGGATCCTGCTAAGGCACTGGGATTGTTCAGTCTTATATCTTTAATACTGTGTTGCATGTCACATCCCATGAACCTTTTATTTTAATCTTCTTACCACCTTTGAAGTTAATGCAGTGCTACATTTTGTATAAACCAGAGCACATAAAAGATACTTTACTATTAAACATCAGTAAGTGTGTTTTCCCCTATTGCAGTGAACAAAATGTGTTTTTAAAAAAATCCACTCCTGGACATGCAGATTTTCAGAGACCCTCATCAGGTGTTTGAACAATTACCTTTTTCTTGTCTTGTCACAGTAGTCAAATTACTGTTTGTCAGTGTGCTTGGGAGGAATTGGGTTGCTATACGGAGATGAGAGGTAGGCACTTTGTTTCATCAGAACTGTAACGATCCTATGCCATGTTAGTAAGAAAGATGATTTGATAATACAGCTCAGGTCAAAATGATATTAAATCCGCATTTTAAGCACAGACTATTTCTGTTAAGTCTCTTTTGAATGAAGACTGACCAGAATAGCTGGAAGGTGTGTGTTTCTCCTAGATGATGCTACTAAGCCATTACAGATTTCCTTATCTATGCTAGTGTAATGATCGTGATGTGTAGTTCTTCTTTTAAAATAATAGTCTGAAAAATTGTTGAGCATTTTGGGAGGTATTATATGGGTTGTTTTTCAACAAGGTCTTATTTCCATTGGAAGGCAATCTGGTGTCCTATCTTATGACAGAAAAGAAAGCA